GTGTCAGCAGTCAGTATCTGTCTTTTCGCTGGTGGGGGAGTGCAGTTGTATGTTACAGCAGCAAGTGCAACTCTGCCCCAAGCTGTAGAAGCCAGCCTTTTCAATCAACGTTTGGGCCTGTGCTCCTTTGTTTGCTGTTCTAGAATCTGCTTTTGCACCGCATAGCTGTAACTGTTCTTCATGTTGGAAAAAACTAGAGAACTGTATGGAGAAGGAAAAAAAAAAGAGGTAGAGCCTGTGACAGTTCGTTTCTCTTCCGTGTTAACAGATCAGGTTGAGAGGCTATTCCTTGTTATCTGATGCTATCAAATCAAGGGTCCTCATTTTTGTGGTTGGAAAGGGAACAAACAGTTGAGATTGTGTGAGCACGTTTGAGTGGGGCATTTTGTGTTTGTGAATTCCAATTACATTTTTATGGTTTTTAAAAACGCACCTTTAAAATGCGGTTATCTTAGAGCAGAATTCTTAGGAATTGAATTAAGTTTTCAAAACCATCTGCATCTATCTTCTGGGTTTTGTACTTGGCACTTATAATACTGCTGATTTAGGTGTAATCTTTCTGATTTTTTTGTGAGCTAATTGCATCTCTTAGAAATTATCTTTGAATTCATTTGAATACTGTTGTTAAATTTTGTGTTGATTATTGATTGGATTGTGGGTAGAAAGGAATTCTCCAAAGTTTGTATTAAATTATCATAAAATAAAACATTAAAATTTATCTAAATAGTTCCTGCTAAGTATCTCTGATTCCACCTATTTAAAATTTTGTTCTGAGGAAAAACTTGTGTAAACAAGCAAATAGAATTAAATGATAAATAATTTGGGGATTATTAGCCACTTTATTTCTGTGTGACTTTTGTTAACTTTTGTCTCTTAGGATAATCCCACAGTAGTTGTTGAAGATTTACGGCTTTGCACAGTTAAACACTGCGAGGACATAGAAAGACGTTTCTGTTTTGAAGTGGTTTCTCCAACAAAGTAAGGAGAAGTGATGGAGCATGTTTATTTAAAACTAAACAGATTGTCATATTCAGTTGTCTTGAAATGCACAACTAACATTTCTCTTGGGATAGATCGAAACAGGAAAAGTATCTGAACAATTCTGTTTGGAATTTTGGTTAAGAGTAAGTGATGCTGTGAGACATGTTCGTAGTTCGTAGTTTACTTTGGTATTAAATGTGCATTCTTGTGCTTTATGCAGAAATGGCTTGTAGTTGTGGAGCTGTTGTGGCTTAGTAGCAGCTGATGCTATCACGCTGCTTAGTAACATAGAAAATAGATCTCCGTTTCTTCACATTTCTGATTGGTGTAATGGGAGAGAAACATTAATAAGTTGTCATCTTAATAGTGTTAGATCGCATTTCAGAGTGCACTAAAGGAAACTATCAAATAAAAATATTTTTCAGCTCTAGCAGTGCAGAATACCGGTTATATTTGGAGAAGTATGACAGTCCCGGCACAGCCAGGGCACAGCACATGGATTTCTCATTAGTGATGTTGAGATGTGATCATATCTAAATTTCTGATGTAAGGTCAACCTGCTTTTAGGTTTGGATGTTATCTACACCCCTGCTCCTACTTATGTTCCTCTTACTAAGTTGCTGCCCTCATGTTTGCATCCTCGGTTGTGATTCACTTTTGTCGTGGTTTAACCCAGCTGGCAACTAAGCATCAAGCAGCTGCTCACTCACTCCCCCCCTCCCTCAGTGGGATGGGGGAGAGAATCAGGGGGAAAAAAAAAAAGTAAGACCCGTGGGTTGAGATAGAGAGGAAAATAACAACAGTAATAATAATAATAATAATAATGGTAAGAGAATATACAGAATATATAAAACAAGTGATGCACAATGCAATTGCTCACCACTCGCTGACCAATGCCCAGCCCGTCCCGAGCAGCGATCACTCCGAGCTGCGATCACTCTCCCCAAGCTGCCATCTCTCTCCCACCCGACTGACTAACTCCCCCCAAGCATGACGTTATATGGTATGGAATAGCTCTTTGGTCAGTTTGGGTTAGCTGTCCTAGCTGTGCTCCCTCCCAGCTTGTTATGCACCTGGCCGAGCAGGAGAAGCTCAAAAAGTCCTTGAGTGGTCTGAGCACTACTTGGCAACAACTAAAAACATCAGTGTGTTATCAACATTCTTCTAGTACTAAATCCAAAACACAGCACCATGCTAGCTACTATGAAAAAAAATTAACTCTACCCCAGCCGTAAACAGGACACCTTGAACATGCATTTTGCTCCTCCTTGCCTATAATTTTTCAGCCCATAAGTGTTGGAACAGTTTTATACTTCATGACCCATTTCCTTTGACTGTTGGTGTGAAAAGCAGTTCATCTTTGTCAGAGAGCTTTAAAATAATTTTCTCTTGATCTCAATGAATGAACTGTGTTTTCAAGGACTGATACCTGTATCTTGTGTAATTAGTCATGCAGGTAAATTCCATGTGAGGATATAAAAATGAAAAATTTGGAATATAAAAAGAAAGGGAATAGGAAGCTAAGCCATTTTCTGCGATATTTGAAAAGTCGTATCTGTATGTTTTAGCATTACTGGCAAATAGTTTTGAAACAAGGAGTTTGCAATTCATAAAGGATAGGCTGCTTTGTTATTTCAAAATAAATGAGATGATGCCTCCTAAACAATATACTTGTGGTGATAGCAAGAAACTTTCTCAAGAGTCTGTATTTTATTGAACAATCTGTTGTTTGATGTTAGCTTCTTGGTCAGTCTCTCTGAATCTGAGTACACCTATTTGTCACAGGAGCTGCATGCTTCAGGCTGACTCAGAAAAGCTGCGACAGGCATGGATTAAGGCTGTTCAGACTAGTATTGCTACAGCATATCGAGAGAAAGGGGATGAATCTGAGGTGAGTTTAAAAACCCAACAAAGAATAATCCCCCTTTAGATCCTGAAAATTAAAAATACAGAAAGCCTCTTCTTATGAGGGGTGGAAAAAAAAAAATCCATTCTTTGTCTTTCAGTGGAAATGCAATGAAATTTTGAAGGCTATGATTTGTCTCATCTATCTCTCACTCCATCTTACTGATGTTACTTTCGCCTATATATTTTTGAGATTTTTTTCTGTAGTGTGATTAAAATTCATAGGATTATTGGATGCTCCAATATTCAGTTCTATATTTCTTCTAAAAAGCTAACCATTTTTTCAGTTCTATGGCTTTCCTTGGCCTTAAATGCAGAAGTTACTTTTCTAGCATTCTAGCGCACTGTCAGTATTTGTAGGACTTTTATTTCTTTATTTAATGTGTGTTTCTTTGGGGGTTTTTGTTTGGGTTTGTTTTTTGTTTTTTGTTTTTTGTTTTTTTTTTTTTTAGAAACAGGAAAAGAAATCATCCCCTTCTACTGGAAGCCTAGAACCTGGCAGTGAGACAAAAGAGAAGTTGTTAAAGGGAGAAAGTGCTCTACAGCGAGTTCAGTGTATTCCTGGTAATGCTGCCTGCTGTGATTGTGGTTTGGCAGATCCTCGCTGGGCCAGTATCAACCTAGGAATCACGCTGTGCATTGAGTGCTCTGGGATACACAGGTTGGGGAGCTCTTCAGAACTCTATTTGATTTGTGCATTGACTTAATTAGGAAGGATGGTGTTTCCCTCTTCAAATGTATATTGAAGAAAGGTTAGATACGCCTGTTTTGAAACAGAATTAAAGTAACTGTTTCACTTGCATAAATTAATGGTAAAGCAATTTGGGGTAAGACACAGCATGCAGTTACAGGTTAATATTTTTTTTCATGCTGTTTAGGAGCTTGGGAGTCCACTTTTCAAAAGTGAGATCTTTAACACTGGATTCATGGGAACCTGAACTTCTAAAGGTATGATAGTGTTTTTGAAACAAGTTTCTATTTGCTACTTGGATTGTTGCTCTAAAGCCACTGCATCAGAAAGTTCAATGCAGGAAACACTTGCATTTGTACCCAGCACATGTGTTTCATTTTCTACTCAAAAGTGCTTATAGTTGTGTGTTTGGGGTTTTTTTGTTTTAATTCATACTTTCTTATAATACATGCAGTAGTCATTCTTGTTACAAACTTGCAAGTCAGAACAACTTAGGACACTTTTGGGTTTGCAGTGTACTTAAAGTAGTAAGTTTCATCTGGTACTTTCAACATAGAAAGATGGAAAATCTGTTTACAGACCAATAATACAGTGGGCTGAAAAATTTTGGAAGTGCTATACCAGCCTAAAACGTGATCATACTTGAAAATTCAGATTCCAACTCTTACAGTGAAATCTTGATTTAATACTTCTACTGGCTTATAGGAAAGCATTCATGCAACTGCTCTTGTGTGCTATTTGTGTGCCAAAATTCTAATTTGATACATGGTTATGAAAATCATGGGACATTGAAATACTGAAATAGGAACTCACACATGGATGAATGTGTGCAATTGAATAACGGATGCAAAGCACTTGTTTCTAGCTGTGATATTCTGGTACTTAGGTATTGCTTCTCTATTCTGAACAATCAAAAGACAATGTGAGTAGGGGTGTTTCTCTTGTGGTTTGACCTTAAACAATTTCAATATGCATGTGTTCATGCTGAGGAAACAAACAAACAAAACCCCCCAAAACTATGCCCTTTGTCCTGTTTATGTAAATACTAGAGCTGACTATTAAACCTGGTATTAGAAGCAAGAAGAATGTTCACTGCCATCAGTTTAAGTTGGACTTTATGGGCCAAATTCTCCTTAAAGGTAGTATCTACAGGCTGTTTTTTGTCTTTGATCTTTTTCTATAGACATAGCAGATTATGGTTTAGCAAAAATGCCTATTGGACAAGATAAGAATAGCTACTGGCAAAGCTGATGGAAAAGAGTACCAGTTAATGAGGCCTGCAGATGTCATTCTGATTGCACAAAAAAGATTCTTGAATGACAGATGGTCATTTTTGCAGTCCTTTTTCAGAAGGGAATGGCACTTTTAAAGAGTAACTATTTTTTTGCTATCTTACTCGAAATGTGGTCTCTTTTCACTGATGGTTTCATTATCATGGTATAAACTATGCTTATTTCTGTAAGTGCATTTTTACCAGTAAAATACGAAGTTGTAAAAATAGGCTGAGTAAGATTAAAAACAACTAAATAGGTAGATAAAGCCTTTTGCAACTGTATTTGAATTTATTTATTTTGCTTCATAGCTTATGTGTGAATTGGGAAATGATGTTATAAATAGAATATATGAAGCCAAGTTGGAAAAAGTGGGAGTAAAGAAGCCACAATCTGGAAGCCAAAGGTAGTAATTTACTAGCAGTGCCTCTTACTTCCTCTTCTTGTTGCTTCTTTCAGCCTCCAGCTTTAAAAGATGCTGCCACTTAACTGTGTAACACTCCTCTGATTTACTCTTCATTTCCCCTTATCACCAGAATGTTTTGCTCCCCTCCTTTTCTCACTCTCTATCTTTCTTGGGTATTCCTTCTGTTGTTCCCTTTCAGCTTCTCTTGTTCATTTGTTCTTTTTCTGATCTCACTCCTTCCTTTTGATGACAACTCATGATAGCATCCCACTCTCTCATCAACGTGGGCATGTTGATTTTGTTTCCTGTCTACCTTGTACCTTCTCAGCCTGCTGTCCTTGGTCTGTGAGTGCTCCTGGAAGGAGCCTGTGGCTGTGCCTTTTGTTTACAGTGACTTTGTTCTTCAGTTTGCTTTTGTTCCCTGATCCCCCAAAAGCTCCTTTCTTTCTGCCTACATTGTACATGAGCTCTGCTGCTTTACAGCAACCTTCAAATGATTGTACTGCTGTCTTCCATTTCTCTGATGCTAATTTGCATTTGAAGGTAGTTCCCTAATGTTTGGTTCTTCTGTATAAGATGTGTGTTAATTTTTTTTTTTAACCAGCTTTCCGGTTCTGTGCTGCTTGCTGTCAGGCAGTTTGATGGTATAGAAAACAGCATTTTATAAAGCATTGGCAATTTGGAGACAATGGTGATAATATAAATAATGTAGGAGATTTGCTAGGTATTCCTTCCAGTGATAACTGTTTTTCAGCAGTTTCAATAGTAATACTCTTATAGACCCTTTTATCAGTTTGTCACAACTGGTGTGTTGTCATCTTGAGATAACCTCAGGTTATGAGAAAAAATATTTCAGTATGCATTATGGAACTGGTGGCTATGCCTACCTGAGGCTTATTATTGTTACAGTTCTCTTGTGCAATCTTGATGTTCCTTTAACAAATGTTGCAATTTATATTTACCTAAGAAACTACATATATGCTATATTAATCGGTTATTAATAAAGTCTAGAACATGTATAAAGGATTAATACCAAGAACTGGTAGCTGTACTAGATGATTGTTGTAGGTCCGTTCCAACTGAAATAGTCTATTCTAAGAGTACAATATAGTAGCTAATGCTTATTTCTTCCACATACGTTCCACTTCCTAAAGTCTTTGCCTGAAAGAAAATATATGTATATGAACTTAACAAAATTACTTTCTTTTGAGACTTATGCAAAATTTAATCAAGAATGCAGAAAGAGCTAGACATTGTGCTCTTCATCTTTCTGAAGATGTGTCATAAGTGTATCTTACATGCAGTGCCAAACTACAGTTTTGGCTACTGGCTTTAGTATGAAATGGATGTTCTTTTAATACATGAAAATATTAAAATATTAGCTTACTAACTCCAGGGATTTTGTATATGACAGGCAGGAGAAGGAGGCATACATCAGAGCAAAATACGTGGAAAGAAAGTTCGTAGAGAAGCAGCCTGCATCAGTATCTCTGCTTGAACCTGGAACAACAGTTTTGCCTCAAAGTCAGGAAGAGAAAAGGCACAGTGGCCCTGAAAAATCCCTTTTGGCAGGGGAACAAGGTGCGGCATCCCCAAAAGGTATTTACATACTTCTCTCCTTAGCTATAAATGCACATGGTCTTTTTCAAGTAACATATTTTTGTATTAATTGATTTTCTGCCTCATGCAGAGAAATTGGAATCTGTCTTTTTAATGGGTCATAGCCTAGTTCAGAAGTATAGGGGAGAAAAGACATTCAGTTATTTTTAGGTGGGGAAGAATTTGGAATGGGGATGCTTATCATTCAGAAACATAATAACCGCCTTCTTTCCTCCCTATTTTCATCCTTCTTAATTTTTCCAATAACGTTCTTTCCTGCCCTATCCCTTCCTTACTGCCTGCTTTGTGCTTTGCTAACTTGCATGTCCCAGCGGTTGCTGTAAGTAGCGACGAGGCGAGGCGGGAGTCTCTGTTCTGTCCTGATGAGCTAGATTCACTCTTCTCCTACTTTGATACCTCTTCAAAACTACGTAGTAGTAAGTACTACAGCTATGGCGTGTTCAGTGTTTGCACTAGTGATCCATTGTGTGTTGTGGCCATCTCCCTGCCTTTAATCCATTGTCTCCAGGTTACCGCATTGCTTAGTGTTTTCATGAAATAATTTAAGCTTTTTTACTTATCCTGATCTTTTCCTTTCTAATAATCTTTGACACTTACTATTATTATAATTGTTATGGTTGCAATATGTGACTTCATATTTTTTTATGGATATGTTAAGAATATTGAATAAATACTAGTCCTTAAAAAAAATTGTATTCAGGACCAAGTATAAGAGCTTGCTTTATTATCATGGTATCTGTGAAGAGCAGGTAACTTACGGTCTGCATAGTAATTACAGTTTCTCCCCAAAACAGTACAAAGCAGTGACAGTGGGATCCAGCAGAGTGCTGACGACAGCAGAGAACACCTTGCCTCTACTATATCAGCTAACAGTTTGTATGAACCAGGTGCGTTAGGCTTTGCACTTTAAGATGGAAATTGAATCACTTCTTGATAGCATGCTCGTATCAAAGAGTTTAGCACTTGGTGATACAATTCATGTCTCTTCTATCCTGGTGGGCTGAAATATTTTTAGCAAGGGTAATAATTGCTTGAGTGACCTTTCTGTCCTCCAGCTTTAGTAGCAAGAATGGCATGGAATCCTTTTAAATGACTTTAGACAATTATGTGTTTTTCCAGTCAGATGATATTGGGCCAGAATTCTGGTTTTTAGCAGACGGCGCAAAGCTGCATTTTGATACAGACAAGTCTCCACAGAAATGCATAATCCTTTTATAAATAGTTAAATCCACGGAGATGGAATTCCTGTTAAGTCACAGATACAGGCTTTTATGTGTTACTTGAGCATTTTTGCTTAATTTTTCTGTTTTCTGCTTATGTGGAACTGACTGTGTCTACCCCGTCTTTACTCAAAGTTTTATAAATTGATTGATGAAATTGTTTGCTATCTAATATTAGCATCCTGGGCTGACAGATGTATTGAGTATGGCTTGTCAAAATACCCGAAACATCTGTTTATAAAGCAAACTTATTCTTCTACATCAAAGCACTCTTCTGAGGTATGTTTTAAATCCAGTAGTTCACAGCTGTCGTTTGTAGGCAAGCAGCATGTGGCTTGCATCCTTACTTTGGCTGCATTGTAGAAATGTGATGCTGTAACTCACGAAAGCTTATACATAACAATGTCTTTATCTCCCAGATTTCACTCTGTATTGACTCTTATTGAGATGAAAAGAAAGATTATGCTTTAGTCCAGTAGGTTATAGCCACAGCAAGGAATTGGTAAATGACAATGATATCTTTTAATGAAATTTAGGTCAGAACAGTATTAGTCTCATGCTCAGGTGCATCAAGCTGTTGCAGCTAAAGATATATTTGTATGACTACACCTCTGTAGGAAATTGGTTCTATTCGTATCTTGCAGTATAGGATAAAACACACTTCTAACCTAAAATAATTTCTTAGAAATGACATGGAATGGATAGGTTGAAGGATATTCACACATGCCAGTAATGTGGAGAGAATGTTTTCTGGGCAGTAATAACTCTGTGAAATGGCCATGCCTGAATGCTGGAACAAGCTAAAAGCATCTGCGACTTCTGGCAGAATGGGGCAACAACGCACAGCATTTTGCAAAACGTGGACTCCCTTATGCCAGAGAAATTACATTTTTGGTCAGAATTCCAGGAGGTACCTCATGAAAACAGGGATTACAGATAAGCATTTTTTTTTTTCTTTTCAGAAGGAGACAAGCAAGAATCTTCTGTGTTCTGTGACTCCAAACAGCCTAGTCCAGGACTGCAGCTGTATCGAGCTGCCTTTGAGAAGAATCTTCCTGATATGGCAGAAGCATTGGCCCATGGAGCTGAAGTAAACTGGGTCAACGTAGAAGAAAACAAAGCAACACCACTCATTCAGGCGGTGCGAGGGGTATGTGACACACAGCACCGCCTGATGTGGGAGGAGGGGAAGGGGAATAATAGGGATATTTCTGTGTCACTGTTCCTGTTGAACTGTTTGCTTCACTAATGAATGATAATGTGATGCTGAAATTTACTTTACAATGTTCTCTCCAAGTTGTTTCTGAACTTCCTGTCAATGCTTTGTTTGGGACTATATAACCTATAGTGTTTAAATTTGATGCAAATCCCTTTTGTTTCTTTGCCACATGACTTGGTGGTGAGAAGGCAGAGCAGGCTTGGTTCTTACTCTAGAGATCTGGTGCTGAATTGTTTCTTTACTGTTGTTTCGTAGGGTTCATTGGTTACTTGTGAATTCTTGCTGCAGAATGGGGCCAATGTGAATATCAGGGACGTGAAAGGAAGAGGACCCCTGCACCATGCCACAGTTCTAGGACACACTGGGTAACTCACTGCTCCAGAATTTGTAAATGGCTGTCCTTTACTATAGCTGTTAACATAAAGCTTCTTCGTTTCCCCAAATATTCTGGTATTTTAATATATTTCAGGTGATACGGGTTTTTCTTAAACTTTTGTGGTAAGAGAGGAAATAACGTTTTTAATTAGCAGTCTCATCTGCTAGTAAAACACATCTATAAACACGCTTTGGTCCATTTTGTATTTAATAATCCTTTGAAATAGCATGAACTTTTGGTGAAGACCTATGAGATTTTTCTTGTTTTCTTAAGAAATATGATACAAATAGGACAAATAGGGGGTGTGTGAGGGCCAAGGCTTTTCCTGATTTGTCCCATCTGTGTGTTGCCCTGAGTGTATCGCATTTCAAAATGTACCGCATTACATCTTGAGTTTGGAATGTTGGTTTTTAACTGAAACCCTGTAGCAGCTCAGTTCAAATGAGGACATAACCAATCTGATTGGTGGTGCCCAAACTCTTTGCATGCATGAATTCTAAATAGGGTGCAACAACTTGGGAGAGTTCAAGATGCAAGCTTAGTCAGTATGTGCTGTTTATAAAGATGAATTGTAATAGCAGAGATGAATAAGATCAGTTTCTATTGGGTAAATCAGGCGCCTGTGAACTATGTCCTTTCCTGTATTGATTCTATTGACTGATGCTCAGTGATTCTTGTTTGTCGTGGTAAAAGGGATGATTTTTTTTTTTTGTTCTACAACCTAAGATGATACAAAAAGGTAGCCTCACTTCCAAAGGGTTCATCTCCTTGCTGCACTAGCCTGATTTGAGTTAGGCTATCTTTCTAATGTGGATTAAATAATTAAAAGTTTTGCTTACTACTGTGTTAATGTCTTAGTTGTTCTAGATGAACAGCGCTGTTTTGATATGGTCAAGAGACTTTTGGCAATTTAAGCCAAATAATGTTGCATCCAGCTTGAATTTATTTGCTGTTTTCCTTTTTTATTGTGAACATTGTTCTTAAATGCTTTTTCTAAACAGACAAGTGTGTTTATTCCTAAAACGAGGAGCTAACCAGCATGCCACTGATGAAGATGGGAAAGATCCACTGAGTATAGCAGTAGAAGCTGCAAATGCAGATATTGTAACACTGTAAGTTGTACATTCTGGTTTTGACTAGGTAACTGTTTTTCTGTTCTGTTTTCGTGTTAAAAATATAAGAAATGTCAAAATTCTTTTACATAAAAACAGAGAGAGCAAAAGGAAAATTGGAGTGTGCATTACCCACTGATGATCTTACTGATGTGAGTTTCAGGAGTGCGTTGTAGGTCTTGAATTGCAGTCTCTTTTGTAATGCTTTAAAGATGACATTGGGTTTTTTTGTTTCCTAAATCATAGGTTGCGCTTAGCAAGGATGAATGAAGAAATGCGTGAATCAGAAGGACTCTATGGACAGCCAGGTCAATACTCTACTAATAACCATACTGAAATGCAGTATAAGAAGTGTATTCAGGAATTTATCAGTTTACAATTAGATTCTTAGGATCTGAGGGAAATTTAAGATAGCTTCATACAATAATGTTTTTTATAAACAACCAACACATGTTAAAGCTTCATTGAAATTCACAGGTGTGAGTTTGTCAGATTATTTAGGGGACCTAAAAGGAGAGCATTTAAAGTACATTATTATAGTAGTGTATGTTACTACAGCCATTACCAACTTGTTTTGCTGGTAGTTGTCCACAGTTTTCTCCTATTGATGTTCCATTGAAATTCGCATAATGTTAGGGTTTACCTGACGTTATTTAATAGCAGCCTTCTGGCCCGGGTTGCTCAGAGACAGTTGAGGCGTTCATCTTACTACAGGATACCATTCTCCTTCCTGTGGAATGGTCCTCTTTTTCTTTTTTAAGAAAAAATGCTTGCACACCAATGTAAAAATGTACATCAAATATTTCGAAATAACTCCAGACAAGAATAGGAAGGTATTGATTCCTCAAATTTTATTTTTAAATATTTTTATTTGTTAAGATACAAATAAGAAACAAAACAGTCATTCTTAAGTATGTATTTTTGTATGCATGGTATCTTACCATTTCATTAAGGAAAAAAAAATTGGCAAACATTTGAGCCAACACCGTGGTGCAAAGAACTAACTAATTATATTTAATGAATATGTGCGACTTTATTCTCAGGCACTCGGTCCCAATTTACGCTATGTTCTGACGTGATATTTATGCAAGCCATTTCTTCTATTGTGGTATGCTTCCATAGGAACCTAATTTAATCTCATGCAAGTATTAATAATGAAGGCACACTTGATTGTCAAGTTAGACAGCTAAAAACACACCACTGTGCCTGGCAGTAGTGAAAGGCAAACCTTATTTTTAAGGTTGAGTGCTGAGTGCTCTTGGCTCACTCCTAAAAAGCCCTTACGTATTTTCCACTGATTCATAAGGATTGTGTATGCTTATGTCTTTTACCGGATTGTGGCTGGAATATACTCAAAGGGCAACATTGTCTCACATCAATATCCCAGATGAACTCTATTAAATAAACCAAATTTATTTAGTTTTTCCTTAACAATAGATGTTTTTCAGATTTGTTTTTAAACAAATCTAGGAAATCCAATTAAAACAAAAAAAAAGTACTACAGACACTCAGATATTCAAATGCTTTCTTTGGCAGAGCAACAGATAATTTAAAAGTATATACTTGATTATGAGCTTAAATGAAGAAGAATTCCCCACTCAGAAAATGCAGCAGGCTGTGTACGTGAAAAAAAAGTCTATTGCCAGTTTGGCCATTTTGAATGTAAAGCTGTTTTTTGATATAATGCATACTACTTCACTGACAGGCTGAAGGTTACAAATACTGAAGTATTTTTGATTATTTTAAGAGGTAAAAGTAGTAACTATCAGTTTCAAATAGTAAAATGCCTTTGTTTTAAGGGATGTAGGCATTTTGATTCAAAAGCTATGCGCTAAATCACAAATGTATATTTTAGATTATTTAGTTGATCTGTCACAAATCCAAAATTACTGTAAACCAGAAAATGCGCTTCTATAGTTTGTACAAAAAGCCTCTGGTTACTAAATGTTACAAATGTTTAGTAAAATGTTTCACTTGTAAAAAATACAGACATTACTTAAATGAAAATATGAATGTGTTTAAGCTGGAGATGGGGGAGACAGTTTTCCCTGACATCTTGTTTAAAATATTTTTTAGATAGACTCTTCAATTAGGTAGATGAAATAAGCTGGCTAAGACTTCAATTGAAAATATCTTGATATTTTTATCAGTTTGTGTTCCAGTAGCATCTAGAGCTGCAGTTGATAGTCTGATCCAGATATTTTACAGATAGTATCTGATCCTTGTAAACAGGCGAGAGGGACAAAGGAAAGTAGAGCTGCCACAGGGGCAGAGCTTGCCCAAAATCAGGGGGAGGGTATCATTAGAGTAATTTTTGAAATTCAGGCCACAAGCTGTAGCGCAGTGTCCCAGCCAGGAGATCTTGCTGTATCTTTGGATAGCTCTGCTCTCCTGTTCTTGATTCTTTACTTGCTGAAGTATCTTTTGAAAGTTGAAGTAAATATTTGAGTGTTTTAAACGTTAATCTCTGCTAGTCTGCTAGAAAGGTTGTGTAAATATGTAAGTGTAAGCACAAAACCTGTCTCTGCTGTTGCAAGGTATGATACCGTTACGTGGTCATAGAAGAGGCAGGTCTTTTTCACTGCATATACATGTTAGATTATCTGCACTGCCCTTATTTTAGAACTCTTCTTTTTCAAAATTGCGATTCTAGAAGAAAATAAGGATTTTCAAGACAATTGTATGCTTGCTGGGAGCTATGTGAGGGTAAATATTGATGTATGAGTTTGCAGTCTTCAGAATGAAGCCAACTGCCTATTTCTCTGCTTCAGTAATGCAGTTGATAAACAATTACTAATGTAGCTAATGGCATCACCATTTCTAATTTAAATATACCTGGCTGGTGTGAGCTACTGAGAGAATGTATATATTGCTTTGCAAGGTACAGTGGTCTTCCAAAATATTCCTGGAATGGGAACTAGCTGAAACCAGCTTGTTCCACAAAAAGTTAATTTCTGGTGGTAGAAGCCATATGCAGCATTGTACTGTTTCTTGTATAATACTTGAGTGCTCATCTTCTGGTGCTACAGTATGTCTGCTAACTATTTGATATTAGTACTGCTACTTGTTCTTCCTATCTTTTCTTGAATGTATAATGTGTGCCTTTTGAGTTACTCTGGTGTTCTATGGTAAAGCAGTGTTACAGTATTTTTGTACATAAAACCTGCACTTTAGGGAAGACATTGCTTGGAAAGGGAATTTCCAGAATTCAATTTTAAAGTAGGATTTTAAAATAAGTATAAGATTTACAGTATTAAGTATTTTAATGCAGCGTGCAAACTAAAGGGGCACTTTATTTTAGTCTATTTTTGTATGTAATATTTTTGTTATGTAATAGAGCCAAAAACAGAGCCACAGTGTATCTTGCAAAAATAGCTTTTGTTTCTTCTTTCAAGTTAATATGAAAGAACCAAATATGGCAACTTGAACTACAGTACTAGTTCACCAGTAGAGCCTGCTTCTGTATTAAAAGCATTATTGCTTGTATGGTACGAGCTTGATTCCGATTTCTGCTCTTCATAGCTGTTCTTTTGGTGAATATTACCATTCCCTTCGTTCTGCACTTATCTCCCAGGGCAAGCAGTTGCCAGAAACTGTTACAATAAAACATGCCCTGTACCCGCTTCATCTCTAGAATATACTTGGAACTAAATCTGGAAACCAAAAGGGAATTTCACTAGAACTAACTCTTCCTAGTAGAGCAGTATTGAATGTATTTATCTTTAAAAGTCCGGGAAGAATTGTGTCGTTACACTTTTATATAAACCCACATGCCATGCATGTTAAATATTTCTGGAAGGTCAGTTATTATTTCTATCATTTTCAAATGAATGGAGTCTAGTCTCCAAAAGAATGATAGTTCTAATATTGGAAATGTGCATTAGAGATGGAAAACCAAAATGGTGTAAATTTCCACTGTAGCGCAAACTTTTAAACACAAAAAAAATTTTAAAAACTGCCCTTTAGAAAAAGGTGGTAGAATAGTACTTTTCTTCTGCAATCATATTAAGGAAAAAATCTTCATGTTCAGCGTACATGATGAGAGAGATTTGGGGTTGATTTCTTTGTCATGCTATTAATCAAGCTGTGAGCAAGGAACAGTAGTGCTGGGATCTTGTGTCCTGTGTGGTCATCTGTGTTGGGAAGACAGTAAAATTTGTATGGCTGCATAGTTGGATAACTGGATCAAATGTTTTATGCATTTAATTCCCTTTTGAAGGCAATAGGCTATGGTTAATATTTGAAAAGGAAACCTGAACTCAAGGCCCAAAATGCTGCAGCAGATGAAAAATATGTGAAAATGTCCATTCTAAAGTGGCAAAAGAATGACTTGGCAATGACTCAAGAAGTAATCATTCCTGAATGTGTTTTCCTGTGTAGACAGAGAGGGGGAGGGAGACAGGCCTGGTGGAAATTGCTGCCCTCCCTCATTTTGGAATATGTACTAGTAGTCGGGTTGTGTTTAAGCACAAAGGGTGAAGATCTAAAAAAAACCAAATGAAAGATATTTAAGGAAAGTATCATCACTCTTACACATAAAACTAAAAGATGTAATGAATGTTCGTGCAGTAATGCATGTAAAAATTTATATTTGCTAAAGTAATAGACCAAAAGAATTTATGAACAATAATTTCTGTACTTAGGATGGCTTTTTTTATGTTGTTACTTGCTGATTGTTTTTCATGGACAATTCTCTCTGGCTGTAAGACTTCTGACCTCTGTTTCCAAGTAAAACTTCATGCCATAATTCTACTTTTCTGAAGAGAATCTCGGTTAGCACTTCCTTGCAAAAACAAGGATTTTATTCTTTAATAGCTAATAAACATTTTTCTTTTTCCATTGCTTTAAAATGCTTTCATTTTTCCTTCCTAACTCTGAACTTTCCTCTGTGTGGCTGCCTGCGAGGTACTATTTCAGGTATAGTTTGGCTTTGTTTAATTTGCTTCTACAGAACGTGCATGCAAGTAAACAGTCCCAAAGAGTTCACATCAGCATCATTCCATCTATAAGCAATCTTTAGACATGGACAAGTGTTGTTATAGTAATGGGTAGTGCAGTAGGGCATTTGTGCAATGGTGGGTGATGTTAACTATCACAAATGTTTAAAACCATTTCCCTTTTCTTTTCTACCTAGGAGATGAAATCTATCAGGACATTTTTCGTGACTTTTCTCAAATGGCATCAAATAACCCAGAGAAGCTAAACCGTTTCCAGCAGTCAGATTCCCAGAAGTCTTAAGTGTCAAGAAGGAAAAGAAGCTGGTTCTTATAGTGCAAGTCTTTTTTTACTTTAACAGAATGAATTATATGCATTTTGTTAGGTAGTTTGGATAAAGTGACCACTCTAATGTAGCTTTAGATTGTGGTAGCTGGGGAAATGTATGAGTTGTTTTATATTCTACAGTACGTATACCTCAGCAGCTGAAGAAAATGTTTAAAAAAGGAATACCTGCTAGCTCAGTGTAAAAATAGTACCTGTTAGCAAGTACAAAGTTTGTCCGTGGCCCAAATATAAAGTTAGCAGAGCATAGCTGCATGCGTTGCAGACTCTGGATGGCAGAATGATCAGACCAGCTTTGCAATTTAGTGTCCCCTACTGTCATCTGTCTCCCTGTTGCCATAAAGAATGTGCCTCTGGCCAGAAGGTCTGGGTTGCATTTTCTGGGACTGTTTGGAAGGGAAATCAGATAATGACTTACTGAGTTGTCCTCCTATTGTGGGCCTGTAACTTAACAGGTTCTTTTGTTCCTGTGTTGACTGTGGTTAGAGGTAAGCTGTTAATAACAAGACATGGTAACTTCTGCTCTTTTGCAAGCTCTCTTTCAGTGGAAGCTTTAACACCAGGCTGGCCTTTATGCTAGTGACTGCGGGTCAGTCACAACCAGTATATATCCTGGAGGACCAAACTTCTAAGAGCAATCTATTTACTTTTTTTTTTTCCCCTCTTAAATTAAACTTTCTGTGCAGCAAGTATACTTTTAAATGAGCATGTGGAACCTTTCATGAAAAATAAACTTAATCCTGCTGGACATGACAAGGGGTTTGTTTGCCGTATTTGGTCATCAAAGCTTGACATTTGAGACATGAAAGTAAATATTGAGCCAATGGAGTTTGTAGAGTAGTTCTATGAAGGCTGCTTGTTACCTTCTCTCTTTGCTGTTCTCACTACCAGACCTAAGCTGAATACATAACATCTCGTAATGCAGCCACCCTAAATTTAGGGCAATCAATCCTTTATCTCAGGAAGCAGTATCCTTTATATAATCTACAAAGATGTATATGTATACATGTTGCCTAAACTAAGGTGTGCACAAGAAAACCTAGGGATTTCACTGCACATTTTTTGCAAAGCAATGAAAGAGCAATACTCTCCAGCTGTATTCTGAGGGCAGCAACTCAGTTTGCTTTATTGAATAGCGAGCTCCAGTCTGCTGATGTGCATGTATAAATTGTGTCTGTAGATACATGCTTATGTGTCAGGTTATTTAATATCTAGATAGTAATCACCTGAAGCTCCAAACCAGCAGATACAATTCTTTACGCTCTGTTTGTCTGCCCTATGGACAACTTAAGGAGAATTTTTAGGTAACGTAGTGTCAATCTGAGTTTTTAGCAACCCTAATAGCCATGACGTTATGCTAATCTGCTGTTTAAATGTACTTAGGAAATTAATTGGCTTTCCTACAAGCTGGCTAAGATAAGCAAAATTGGATAAAATGTTTCTGTAAACTGTAGTAAAATTAAACTTTCTGGCATATTAAATTTTAACTAGGTATTTCAAATATTTATAATTTTGCCTCAAATGTATAATAAAGCATCAAATCTGGATGACTGTTGCTGCAAAGTTAATAGCATTTTAGAATTGTCCAATAGATTCTTTTTTCAAGCAGAAGAATCTTACAAAACAGTTCTTGCTTCGTGTATCGCCTAATTATGCTAGGAAAAGCAGATTCTGCCCATTTTAAGAGTGCATTTAGTCCAAATAGTAAGAAACTTAGGAATATCACCTGTAAGCAGTAATTTCTGGTAAGTTGTTTTTTAAGTAGCTGTCTATGAAATGATAATATACTTCCTAATCTGCAGTATTTAACAGCAGTGGATGTTTTAGTAGATCTTAGAGAAAGTAAAACTCCCAGTGTGCAGATGGGACGATGTAAGATACGACTATGTATAGTATACACTTTAAACGTAGGGTTTTGTAAAGATTTTGTCTTTTGTATCCTACAGGACAGGCAGTATATAGTGTGATTGGCTGTCATGTAAAGCTTCCTAAAGCTTAATGGCGTAATTGCTATCTCAGTCTGTGCTGCTGGAAAAATGTCAGACACTTATTTCAGATCTCCACTGGTATTTTCCTTCCTAGCCACAAAAATCTGCATGACATATTTTGCAGGACAGCTTCCTGTAGACAAAAAGTTTCTTCCCTGTAGCTCTGCAGATCCACGTGCTGCATTTCCAACTCTTACCTGTCTGGGAAGCAGTATCAGTCTGTTTATGCTAACAGACTAATAACGTATGTGATCCACAGCTTATATTACTCTTGTCAGGAACTTTGGAGTTTTAATGGTTCAGGGAGTGGGTATGTCACTTCTGATCCTGCAGCCTCGTTCCCCAATCCTTTTAGGTATGCTAGGATGTCCAGCATAAACTGCATTCAGTTAAAGCTTTTTTTTCAGGTCAGGTGCAATCATGTGTTAGGATGTTGCTCATCAGCAAAAATGAATATGCTATTAAGCTGCCTGAAATGTATTGAGAGTTTAGTCCTACCAAACACTGGCAGGCTCGGCGCTCCGGGGCTTCTCTTAACTCGTAGGATTCAGCCCTTGGTAATACGAAGTGTGAGTATCTCTAGTACTCTGAAGATCAGGCTTTCTGTATCGACTTCTGACTCAAGTGTTAATCTTCTGCTCTGTAATATTAGGAAACTGCCATTTTTATTACAATGATTCAGCCTTCAGTAATACAAAGTATGATTATCTCTAGTACTCTGAAGATCGGGCTTTCCATGTCGAAGTTCTGAGTCGAGTGCTAATCTTCTGCTCTGTCAGGAAGGAAACAAACTTCCATTCTTATGACAATATGAATCTGAGTATAACTAGAAATAATAGACAGTAAGGCTCCATTGTGGGTTAACATCTTGTACTCTGTACCAGGTAATGGAAAGCCTCAATTCCAGTTCATGTTTCTCTGTAGGTATGAGGTATAATAGGCCTTAATTGGTGAGGTACGAAGCAGTAGATTCCTTACACGCTTTAAAATCAGCTTCCAAATAGGGTTTTAGTAATTTACTAGACAGCCCACTGAAAGATTTTACAGTATTTTTCTTAGCCAGAGTTAGCTCATGTGTTCCAAAGATCTCTTGGAAAGACAAATGTCGAGAGCTCAACATATATTCTAATGCATCTCGATTTCAGAGGCATAATTTACTGACATTGAATGTTGATTAAAATGTTGTCTGTGGTGTCTCCTTAGTGGTCTGTTCTGTTTTGATTGTTCGTAAGGTTTTATATTTCATGTTAATGTCAGTACAGTGCATATAAACTTAAAATTCTGAGTTATCATACTGGATCACGTTGCTGAATTGTTAGACACGCTGGAATTTATTCCCATAAATTTGGGTGAAGGTGGTAGATGGTAGAAGTCGTGCTTGGCTTTCACAAGCTGCACGTGTTGCAGTCTGAATGCGTGTTTCAGTTGTTCATTACTATGTTGTAGTCTTCAGCTTCCTTACCAAGAAGTCACTGAAATCTGTAGCGGTCTTTCCACTGATTTCAGAGGCTTTGGATTGCACCTTTTGTGGCTTCTACTGTTAGTGTGTTAAAGGATCCTGTATTAATACTGCACTTTTCACACTCTGGGGTTTTACATTTTACCTGGTTATATACTGAGCTGAAATAGTTTTAGAAAATGCAACCAGACCTTCCCAACTGCTGTCTGCAAATCCCCATACAAGAGGAAGTTTCTCCTGTTTTGCAGTATGACCTCAGTACACATGTTGTCCAAATTTGAGTTCTCCCTGATAGAGCAAAAACCTTATAGCACTAAAGAAAAAAAAAGAAGGTGCGAACTAGAATAAGCATGGGGTGGGCTGTGATGTTTCCAGGATGTTGGTGTTTCTCCACAGTCATCTGTTCTCAAGTATGGATGTTAACTCTGCCGTTTGATCATGAGAATCTCAAATGACACAGTGAATAAAAAAGGACCATTTCATAGAATTATAAGTAATGTGTAAGTAGTAAGGGTGTAACACTTTTACACTAGCAAAAGGACTGAGCTGATGATTTAATACATTGAAAGCATTTTGAGAATCAGTTTTGCAAAAAACTGCCCCCTCTGCTTATTCACAGATGGACGCTTTTTCCAAAGGTAGAGTTTATGCCACGTGTTTGTACACCCCAATAGCCAAAATGCCTGGCTGTTATGCTTGCACAAAAGCATGTTTTTGAAAGAGGGACAACTCCAGAAGGGCAATACTGGGGAAAAGGATGAATGTACCACTTTGGTATATGCTTGCTTTATCTTTCTGCACACAGTATTTTCTTGTTTCTCTTCCCATGGAAAGAGATGACAGAGGAGGAAAAAGTCCCGCTCACTTTTCTGTTAGGATCCCAGATTTTCCATGTTTTGATAGGAAACAATGATTTCTCGGTGATTTCTCAAGCAGAGAGACTGCCTGAAATAATGAACTTTGGTGGGTTTTTTTTTTCCTTTATCTACGTGTCCCTCTGTATTTGGTGTTTTTTAAGCATTCCAGCAGTAAAATGCTTTTTCTCCTGT